CATCATCACAGTATGGTAGGGGCGTAACATTTCCGTCACACGCTTGAGGTATTCGGCCAATCATAACGCACTGGATAGCTGGCCAATCAGAGCACACCTCGTTTTTCAGACCGATGAGTTTTGTAAAAATCGACGCGTTTCAGAAAGGCGGGACATAGAGGAGAAACAATAATGTACATTATGTGGAAAATAATGTTTTTTGAACCTTAAACCGCATAAACACATTTCATTACACCAAATACACAAAATAATGTTCTTTTTAGCAACATCATATGACCCCTTTAACAATTCTCACAAAAAAAAAACCTAGGACTATAATGTTTTTAGAGTTGAAACACCCGAGCAGTGTTGTTATTGTTAAAGTCAGTATGAAATGGAACTTGTGATCATCTTTTCTATTGTAATGTATAATGGAGTAAAACAGCAAGCAAAATTGTAGATTGTAAATTGTAGATTGTAGGCAAGCAAACTTGATTTTGTCCATCAGGAATTGATTGGCTCTTTGGGTTGTTGGATCATTTTTGTTTGCTAATTGCTGTGACAGGTTGCTAGGGCAGAGGGAAAGTTATTTTGATTAAAGGACACATACATTTAAAAAAAATTATGTGCACGGATCAATAATCAATAATAAACAATTCAATTTTCCATACAAAAATAACTCCATTTAGATTTTCAGTGGTGACTTTAACTATAACTAAAACTATTAAAGTTTTTTTTTTTTTTTTTTTTAATAATTGAAATAAAGCTAAAAATGCAATAAAATATAAATATTAGATGAATAACTTAAACTTAAAACTTATTTCAGATTATTATTTCAGCCAGGGCAACTTTTCAAATTTTCATTTAAGCTGATGTAGTAAAATTAATAAAGCTAAATCTGAATTAAAAATAAATGAAAGCTAAATAAAAGTATTATTTAAAAAAAATACCTAATAAAAATGACAAAAGCAATTACTAAAACTTAATTTAAATTAAAATAAAAAGTTAATTCAAAATATTAATAAATGCTATAACAGTGTTAATAATAATACACGAAGTTTATACAATAATTTACATGAACAGATCACAATATTTTTAAAAAAATTTAATAGTCCATATGCTGCAAAGCAAATTGTGATATAATCTACTGTACCCTCACGCAATTGTGATAGATTTTCTGCCTGTACTTTTCATATCTCTACTGGCTACCAGTTCTACATGCTTACCTGTTGACTATAGCTGCATAATGCTAACCTCACACAGTCAAAGTCTTCCCTGTACTAACTGTCTCCCATTGCTGGTCAGGAGGTTCTGGTGCAGGTGCTCGGGGTTCAAAGCGTGGGGCCGGTGCAAGCTCAGCCAGCCTCCTGGAGATCGACCCGGTCATCCTAATCCAACTACTGGACCTGAAAGACCGCAGCCATGTGGAGTCACTGTGGGGGATACAGCCCCGTCCCCCTACCTCTCTCCTCCAGAGCCAAGGTGTCACTGATGTGATCAAATTGAAGATTGAAATTATGAACATGAACTCAATAGCACTCTGAAGAGACTATAAAGTTGACATTATTCATGACTCATTAATCGTTTTTGATTGACAGCTGCTGCAGTGCCCTCTCGTAAAGAGCGTGAGCGTCGGCCTCAGGCGGTGCGTCGGTCAACCCCGGACTCGGGGGTCCTGATCAGACTGAAGGCTCAGATGGCAGAAGTGCGCAGTAAGATGTCAGACGTGAAAGGGCAGCTGGAAGCCCGCAGTGGAGCCGGTCGGGTCTCCTCTCTGGGAGCCTCAAACCACGATCAGGGCCCCTCCATGGATTCAGAGATGGGGCCCAGTCGCAAACCCAGCGAACTGCTCTTCAAAGCACCCGTCTCATCACGACACTCTTGGAGTGGTATGGCACTGAGCTAGTTTACATCATATGACACATAAAACAACCCGTTTTTAGTAAGGCTGTGAAAAGTTACGGTAAATATAATGTTACAAAAGATTTCTATTTCAAAGTTCTTTCTGTTATTCTAAAAAAAATTTAAAACATGATCAAATTTTCCATAAAAAATATATAGCAGCGCAACTGTTTTCAACATTGAAAACACTGAAGACTGGAATAATGGCTGGTGAAAATTCAGCTTTTCTATCACATATATTAACATATATTTAATTAGAAAACTTTTTTTTTAGTTGTTATAATATTTTACAATATTACTGTTTTTTCTGTATTTATAATCAAATCAAATGCAGCCTTGGTGAGCATAGACTTTCAAGAAACATTAAAGAATTGTAACGACCCCAAATGTTTGAATGGTAGGGTGTATTGTTCTAGATTCAGCGTGACTTTGTTTTGATTGTTGTTTCAGGAGTGAAGAAGGCTGGTTCTCCTAAGCAGGAAAGCGTGGGAGCTCTGGGTGGACTTTCCCTGCGCAGGGCTCTAGATGCCGGGGAGAAAGAGCTGAGAGGAGCTGGACGAGAGTCCCCTACTGAACCTGCTCCTTGTCTCAGAGAGGGATCCTCCTCTTTGGATGGTCCGTACACTACACTAGACGTCAGTCAACATGCTTGACTAGTTGTCCTCCAACCCACTAGTTTATCTAGTCTCATCTCATGCTGTTTTTCAGCATCTTGCACCATAAGCATTGCATTTTTAAGATGCCTTAAGTTAACCTAACCAGCCTAATTTGATCATAACACTCAAGATAGTGAATTATGAAAATATGTAGTTTTGCCCATCCCTAGAAGGAACAATAGCTTTGAAACCCTTTCAATTATGCTAGGAATAATTAAAAAATTCATTTTGGGGAAAAGCAAAGAGACTTCTGTGAAACTCAACTCTGATATTATAGGGTGTATTCAAATCATTTAGAAATGACGCAATCTGTGTTTTGCAGGCTCACTGAAAGCACGCAGTGTGCAGAGTTCTCCTCCCTCGCTGGGAAGCAGTTCCTCTTCCTCTGATAAGCCCTCTGGCTCCAAACATGAGGAACTTCTGTATGGAGCTTCAGCTTCAGAACTGTTCAGCGTCACAGCTCTCAATGGAGCAGCCGCTCCCGCCACCAAACAGCGCAGGACTCCAGCCGCCGGGTAATGTACAGAAACAAGCCATCAGTAGTACAGCGTATTGTGTGTGTGTGTTTCCATTCATGAACAAATGCAGTAATTGAGCTTGAATGAAGGTTGCCGTTTTAAGACCTAGAATAGACATTAAAATGCTCAGCTCCTTAGTAATGATGCACTGGTTTTAATTTGTCAGTACATTCATTATTATTTTTGGAATCTCTTGAGTTTTTTTTCTGACATTGTGTGTGTGTGTGATTTTTTATTTTTTGTCACATACAATGACGTGATACACAGTGGCTTTTTTAATAAGATTGTATCCTTCAGGTCTGGCCTGCTGATGGACAGCTCTCTTAACTGTGACCAAGAGAGTGCCGGAGAAATCCATCCGTCACTGCTGTCACTGGCTGAGCCGTCATCCTCTTCCTCCTCACGCCCTGATGAAGGTGAGACATGAAGATCTGTTCTGGAAAAATCAAAAACGGAAAAAACAGGGGGTATGTGTAATTACACTGCAGCACATTACACTTGTGTTGCATCGATGAGTCACTGCACACACCGCGAACGAACGTCGCTGTCATCAAATTAGAGGAGTTCTCAGTACTGATATCTGTCAGTTCATATAAACGTACGATCGTCTGTTCATAGGTCTCCTCGGCCAGAAGCAGCCCCACCATGTGCTGCCGGGCATGAGCAGTGACAGTGAGCTGGACTGTGACACGGAGAACGAGAATGAGGATGAAGTGGTGGCTCTGGAGGCTGGAGACTGTGCGTTTGACACCAGAACTCTACCCTGCCCAGGTTCATATCTCACACTTAAACCACTGCTACCAGCCTAAAGCTTGGCCGTGTTTTACTGAACTTTGTCCTTCATGGTCTTTAAGCTTTTTGATCTAAACGCTTATACTTAAATGACAAATCTCAGTCCAGAACCAATTGAAAATGTAACTTAATTTTTTTACATATGTAAATTTGGATAATTCTTACTGAAAATTAGTCAAAAAGTTACTAAGTATAACAAAAGTGTGGAAGGCCATTTCCACCACATAATAAAAAAAAAAAGGTAATTGCAACAATTTATCTCACAATTTGGACTTTGTTTCTCACAATTCTGAGAATTGCAAGATATAAACTTAGAATTCAGATTTTTTTCCCCTGCAATTCTCATAATTCTGAGTTTATATCTCGCAATTCAGTTTTTTTTTCCGCCATGGAAAAAAAAAAAGAAGGTAATTGCAACTTTTTAATCACACAATTCTGAATTGTCGTATGTTAACTGAGAAAAATTTCAGAAGTGTGAAATAAAATTCACAATTATCTATCTTTCTTTTTAAATCCTGTAGTGGAAATGGGCTTCCATACAAAATTGATTCAGACTCTCAAAAGTGTCTATTTAACATTTCTTTTTTACTTCAAAAAAACGTAATTATGAATGTCATGTTTATTATTTTTGAGGTGTTATTTGATGTTTTCTAAAAATTTTGTTTGGTTGAATATGCAAATTATTGCAGAAAGTCAAAATTGTTAAATCAAAGTAAAATCATAATTTAGCCTTTAGTACTTCCCTTTTAATACAGTGTTGTTTTATATTAGGCAAACACCCAATCATACAGCCTATATGACGGATAAATGTAAGTGCTTTGTTAAAGTTAAAAATAGAGTTGTGCACAGGTCAGCCACCTGCTTAGTCTGTCATTATCTCCGTGTGTGGGCCGCGGGCACCGGCCTATTACAATATTACAGTATATAATATCACAGTACAGACTTGTGTTCCAGCGGTCTGTGTGTGGTCTGATGAAGAAGCGTCTGTGTCTCGTTCTCAGGCGAGCAGCTGATCCCTGATGATCTGAGCTTTGTGACTGGAGAGACCACAGAGAGATGATCCGCCACAGTGGTACAAAAATGTCTGCTAGTCACATGAACCTTCCTGTGTCAACAGGCACATAATGTGCTCTTTACATTATGTCTGTGCACTTACTTTATATTCAGATGTTCAGAACAGGATTATATGTTTCTCTGTGCTACTGTATGTGTTATTTCAGAGAAACTACTTTTGGGATCGTTTTTTTTTTTTTTGCGTTGTGAAATGCGTAACATTCCATTATAAAGCTAGGTGTATACATTTTGTGTATGTGCATAACTAGGTAATAATATTACAGTTATATGCATATTCTTTACGTTTGCAATGCTGCTTATTGTCATAAATTCATAGGGAGTTGCCAAACACCTCTTAGATTTTTGAGTCAATAACTTGAGTTTTCAAGTGTTTTGGCACATTGAGTCAAAGAATGTAAATACAGGTGCTGCTCTGCTACTTTTTATGTGGCATATTCTTAGTGCAGGATATACGTAGATGTTAGTGAGGGTTTTTGTTGTTGTTTGTTTTTGTTTTAATTTTATGTAGCTTGTCTGTGAAAATATTAAGCTGTCTAGAACACAATTCATAGATTCCTATACCTAAAAAGTTTACATTTGACTAAATGTCTGCAAAAAGGGAACATAAAGCCAATACAAGTTCAAACAATTTTCTGACTTTCACAGTGATTGTTTTTATATATTTCAAATAAGAAGTTATTTAACATTGCACAGCTTATGAACAAGCACTTATGAACTTATTAATGCTACATTCCCGTTTTTGCTTGTTTTTTGTTGTTGTTTGTTTTGTTTAGTTATTTTTTAACACGTTAACTCTTATAAGATGTCCAAATAAAAGGCAGTTACGTACTTAAACCAAAGTCTCAGGTGGGCCCAAGTCTGTGTTTTTAGTCCCAGGCTCGTGTGTGTTTGTGTGGTTTGGTTTGAGCTCAGACAGGAAGCATTGATGATGTGGTCTGTCATGGCATCAGCAGCAGCTGGGGAGTGATGAACTTCTGTTCGTTTGAGGTCACGGTCTTGCTCTTTGCATGCACAGCTTTCGCTCAGTACAGTCTGTTGAACGTGAATGTTTTGTGGAAAATTGTACAGCCAGTAATGCATTGCTTTTGCTGTTTAATCATTGGCTTAAGAAGTGCTTTATGCAAATACTTAAAAAAAAAATTTTTTTTTGCTTCCCCTCCAGTATGTACTGCAAAGTATAAAACAATGATAACAGTGTTCCTGTGACTATTCAATGTAAATCTAATTCTGTTTTTTGTGCTGTAATAATGTTCCTATTTTGATGTTTTGTTTCATGTGAGGAGCAAGAGGGCAGTCTGTTCTCTGTGCACATTTCTAGTTTACTGGTTTCTTTCTCTAGCATGTTTTTAAAGACTTTTTGGGGGCCCAAAACAAACTGGAGTATATGCACAGTATGTACTGTAAATATCTAAATTAAAACCTGAACAAATAAATTACGTGATACAACAACTACTACTACTACTATTATTAGTAGTAGTATTAGTATTATCCAATTTCACCTCCAAATAAGAAATATATAATAAATTGATTAATAAAATGTTTGTATTATTTTTATGACAGCATTTTCTTTGTTGTTTATTTTTTTTAGGTGTTTTTTTTTTTACTTTTTATTTTATTTATTTTATTATTATTTATATACACTTAATAATAATAAACACTTTTTCTTCACATCCGCTGACTGTGGTTCGCGGAAGACGTCCAGGCGGATGACGTAAGACGTCGGCGTTGCGTGATTAGTGACGAACGCGGAGAGAGGAACGCTGGTCACGAATTAGAAGCACAAAACGAGGATTTGTAAAGAAAAATGTCGGAGGATTTCTATAATCAAAAGGAGTCAAAAGGAGACTGGAAACTTTGTTTCCTTTGCTCCTGCATTTCTCAGAGGCGCGCGCACGACGTCTACGTCTTACGTCATCCGCCTGCACGACTTCCGCGTACCACAGTCAGCGGACATGAGAAAAAAGTGTTTATTACTTTTGAAATATGGATATTTATCTTACAAAAATGCATGGATTCGCTACAGGAGGCCTTTATTCACCCCCCGGAGCCGTGTGAGGGACGTTTTATTATGGATGCGCACACTTTATTTCACGTCTTCTGCTGTTGGCAACCTACACCCACTTACCCCCTTTGAATGGCTTGGAGGGGCCAGGACAATTTTTAATATAACTCCGATTGGATTCGTCTGAAAGAAGAAAGTCACATACAACTAGGATGCTTTGAGGGTGAGTAAAACACAGGCTAATTTTCATTTTTGGGTGAACTAACCCTTTAACCATGGTTTTATTATAGTAAAAGTGTAGTAACCATGTTTTTTTGCCATATTGATTACCATTGGTATAACCAGAGTTGTACTATAAATAACTAACTATAGTTACTGTAGCAAAACCATGATTAATTTGTGGTTACCATGATTAAGCTACAGTAACTTTTTTTTTTTTTTTTTTGTAGTAAAACCATATTTTATAAATTTAAGTTTATTGTTGAAATTTTCTTTAAATTAAGGTACAGCTTCAAACATCACAATGGTCCTAAAAATAGACTTTTGAAACTTCAAAAATTCGATTTTTGGGGTGAAATGTGACTCTGTACTTGACTTGCGAGATTCACCCTCTAACTGCAGTGTGCGCGCTCATGTCCACATGCACGTCTGCACCTGCTGTCTGGTCTAGTCTGTAGGGTGTGCAGTGCCAGGTCGGTGCTGTGTGAGAGCCCCCGGCAGTGTTTATGTGGATGAGTGCGTGTTGGCTCTGATTCTGTCCTCCTCACATCCATTCCCGCCCTTCATCCAGCACCTGACTGCCAACACTCACGGCCTCCCGTGTCCACTTCAGAATTCTCTAGCCGTTATTGACACCGGATCCATTATAACCTTTCTTAATAATAATAACACCCCTGGTTTGGGCTGTAAAACCTTTACCTAGCGTTCCCATTATTGAATGTGGGTGTGTAGTGCTGATGACCGATCTTCAGGCATTTTCTGGGGGGTTATGTAACACGACGGATGTGTTTTTTGTAGGAAAGTGTTGTACGCTAAGTACACAGTTTTAATTTACTGCTCATCCAGAGAGCGGCACACTAAATCCTGTTCTCAGTGCAATTCATCACTTTCAGTCTGGACCACTTGACCGGAAAAATCCAGCTTACATTTGAACTCGAGTAAACATAATTTTTTTTAGCTACAGGTATTTGTTTAGACACAACAGCACTGGCTGGCTTTCACTTGAGCTTTGTCATGATCTAAAACAAAATAAACACTCAAAAAAAGGTACAAAAGTTATCCCTGGGGTGGTACCTTTTCAAAAGGTACACTTTTGTACCTTATTTACCCCTAAATAGTGCATATTAGTACCTTGAAGGTACATAATAGTAACAAAAGTGTATATATTAGTACCTTTTGAAAGGGTACTGCCACGGTTAGCTTTTGTACCTTTTTTTCCTGAGAATGTATGTGTGACTAGATTGAAGAGTTTGTAGACAAACTTTAAGTTGGCTTAAAAAAGCCTAGCTAGAAAGTTTGAAAAAGTTTTTAAAGTTTTTTTTAGTTTAAAGTAGTTTGAAAGTTAAAATAGTTTTAAAGATTAAAGTTAGACTGTATTGCCTTGAAAACATTCAATCAGAAAAACACATGGGTATAAAACATATTGCTAGGGTACCTGGGGTGGTTGCTAGGCTGTTTCTAGCATGACTAGCATGTTGCTAACATGTTTTTAGCACGATGAGCATTTTGCTAGCATGATTATAGCATGAATAACATGTTGCAAGCATGTTGCTAGCACAATTAGCATTTTTCTAACATGTTGCTAGCATGATTAGCAAGTTGCTAGCATGTTTCTAGCATGATTAGCATGTTGTTAGCATAATTAGCAAGTTATTAACATGTTGATGACACAAGGGGGTGATCCTTTTTTCAACTTAGTGATTATTGTTTTTGTTTTTTCCCTGGATAAAACAAAAACTGTGTTAGTCTTCATTTCAGGCTGCAGAGCAACAAAATGTGATTATTTTAAAGGGGGGTGATTCTTTTCTATACCCACTGTACCTCAGTTCAATGTCTCGATGGTTTTTAATGCTTAACACAACATAACACTGTTGATTTTGTTTCTCCATACGCCAATATATATATTTTTTTCTGGCCAAAATATATTGAAAATATATTTAATAATGCTAAATATTGTAAACCGTGAAACTCAGTGAAATATATTTTTAAAATTGGAAATGTATTTAGTTCTTATACCAAAATATTTATTTCAGGGTCAAGAAAATGTACAATCTTGCAGTAGCCTACAATTAGGCTAAATACAAATGGCTGGAATAGCCTACTAGAAATCAAAACTATATAATGCTTAAATGTTTATATATTATAATATTGTAATTTTCAGGGTTTCTTTATTTATCAATGGGAAAACTGAAGTACAGCAGGGACTGGTTAGGAAGTGCTCCACTGTGCACTAGCCTTAAAAATGTATCCATTAATGATTAAAGTTTAATATACAACACAGATGAGAGAAGAAATCAAAACTATATAATGCTTAAATGTTTATATATTATAATATTGTAATTTTCAGGGTTTCTTTATTTATTTATTTATCAATGATTGTATGTTCTTTACTGAATTTTTCTTCAAATGTGACATGAATGTATTTTCGGATTTATATAAACGGATTTGTATATTTATACAAATATATATATATATATATATATGTATATGAAGTGTGTGATTAATCGCGATCATTAATCACAGAAAAAGGGTGTGATTAATTAGATTAAAATGTTAATCTATTTATTGTTATATATATATATATATATATATAAATTGTTATATATAACATTTCATATTAATATTTATTATTACTATTATATAGTGTCTTTTGAAATATGTCAAGTAAAAAAGGGCTCTACAACCAGGTGACACTGTATGTGTGACATGGGCTCATGCTCCTATCACCACAGGAAGTGCAAGTAGCTTGATTAAAAGGCAACTTGTTCAATTAAATTGTCCTGTGTTCTTGCCAGTGTCTGACAGGTGGAGGCCGGAGACTATAATTACACGTCCTGGCTCAGAAAGCCTTTAGGGGTCACAACCAGTTCTTGTGTGTGACAGCAATAAGGACTCACTCGGATCTCAGAACACTCACAGAAATGAACACAAACAGATACTACAATGGGTGCTTATGTGTAGCATTAATGTCCTACTGTAAAAATAATATTGTAAATCTTAAGGGCTGAAAGAGATTTACACAATCATAGGATGAAAAAAAGAATAACAAGACTTTTTTAAAACTCAGAATTCTTAAAAAAAAAAAAATGAAATTCATTTTTTTTCTGTTTCTGCCATAGAAAAAATAGGTAAAAATAGGTAGCCTAATTGTGATTTTTGTTTTTTAATTTCACAATTTCACGCATGGAATAAAATTTTTAAAAGGAAACCGTGACTGTTTGTCTCACGATTCAGACTTTTCAGAATTCTGAGAAAAAATTTTGGAATTCTGAGATAAAAAGTCGCAATTAATTATCCCGTGGCAGAAACGGGCTTCCATATGAAGCAACGCTCACACAGAAGTCACTTCCAAACCAAGCAGCTCTCTGTTGGTCAATGTGGCAAAATTCCGTTGAGAACCCATTTCAAAATTTTTGTTGGGAAATCTTTTGCCCTCATGCAAAATTCATGATCGTGTGAATTCCTATTGAAATGACTGGATTTTGCACGTGAAAATTCGCCAAAAATGAAGTCACTTTTTCGTGAATTGAACACAACGACTTGCGCAGTGGTGGTTTTTGCATGTGGGAGAACATGAACATAGCCTATATTTAATTTACATTTCATATATTTAACTAACGCCCTCTCACAAAATGATATTTGACGAAACCGCACATTGACACGCACAAAGTTTTTGCGACTGTCGCAAAAGACGATTGGATTTAAAATTATTGCAGCATTTTTTTTTTTCTTGGCCCACTGGCATGACTTATATACTTTCAAATCTACAAAATGTTTAAATAATGAATTACATAATCTTTATGTTCACTTGTTCATGAAGCAAATCTGACCGACTTCCTGCATCCCTTTTATTAATAACAGTATGACCAAACTATGGTTGATCAGAAATCTTCTCACAGTTGAAACTCCTATCAAGCACTGACCAGTCCGTGAAAACTGTCACGCATCCCATTAAAAAAAACCAGCTCTGAGAGTACAGTAGTGGTTTCTCATCAACACAGGTTTAATAGAATACAGTGACGACCATCAGTAACATAGGTTTCTTTTTTAAAGATACGTTTGTCCCCCCCCCCCCTTGCTCCAAG